GAACTGACACTGCTTATGTAAAATCTTGTACTTACTGGAGACAGTGAGAGAGAAAGAGGGAATAGACGTGTTTCCAAATAATTTCTTGGAACTAATTGCAAATGGTTCTCATGTTTCTTAATCAATCTTCCATTGTAACATTACTTCCCAGCAAGCGTCCTCCTGTAATGCTCATTATAAGAAAAGATTACTTAGCAGATGAATGCGTAGTGAAAAAAAAAACCCTGGGGATTTTCCCAGTTGGGTTTAAATATTCTACAACATTGCCATTTTTTTTGTGTGTGTGTTAATTTAACATATTTTAACTTTGATTTTTGCCCAAAATGTTTGATCTTGATATCTAGCATTAGGTAACTAAATCCCTCTGTAGATAACTGTGTAAAAGATACAGAGTAACTGAAATGCCTTTGAATCCTCTGTCCAGGGTGGGAATTTCTGCTACTTTTAAATACCAGGATGCACTTATTCAGGTGCCTAAAGATTGACCTAATTATCTAATGCTAGGAATGCATGACTGAAAAAAAACCCAAGTCTGTTCCAAGCAAAAGCTTTTGTTTGGCAAACCCAGGACTTAAACTTTGTTTACAGAGTCACAAGATCTTTCTCAAGTCATCACTCCTTTGCCCATTCGTCTTCTTGAAAGACTAGCTTATGGAGAAATAAAGTAATACTATCTTTGTGGTCTTTTCTACTAACCTGGTTCATGATTTTGCCCTAAAAGAGTTCTTTCTAAAAGATTTCTGTGATATTACAAAGTCACGATAGAGTCTGAGGAGGTTTAAAACAGAAGAAAAAACTTGTTTCAAAAACAAAGTTTCCCCTTTAAAAAGTAGTTCCTCTTGAAAGACAGAACTCTTTTTCAGTTAATTTGATTAAAAGTCCTTCCCGTACTCACCTTTAAGGGGCAAAGGCCTTTTTTTACTTATTCTAAAGGCACTAGTTCAAAGAATTCTAGAAATTGCAGAAAGCCCAAGGATTTTTATATTTTACCATAAAACACTAATCTTCAGCCAAACGTCTAAATTAAAACACAGTGGGCTTCCTTACATTCATGAACAAGGTCTCAGCATTAGATTAGAAAAATGACAGTAAATTGCTACATCAGATGTGCAGCGTTCATTTGGTATTTGGGAGAGATAAAAGGAGTGCAAGGCACACTGGAAGAATATGCAGTGAGAATGAAAATCAACCCCCGTTTAAATACTTAATAACATACTTTGAAATCAATGACTACCCATGCATACAATAGAAGATCAGTTTTGGCCCTGCTGTATTGGAAATAGTGTGGAAAGGATCACTGAGAACTTCCTTGGTTTTGGAGACCAGAGGGCAGCAAACGTGACACAATTAAAAAAAACAAAAAAGATTCTGTGGCAATCTAGAAAGCTTACTTCTGTAGCACAAAAAGTAGCAGGAACTATAATAGAGGCCAGCACATGAAGAACCAGCAGAGCTTCTGTAGATGGAGCATGTAGAAAAAAGTGATTGCTGTAGTACTGATGGATTTAATTAAGGCTGTTGGCATCTGTTACTGAAGGTTTTAAGGAAACTGAGAAGCCAGGAAATAAAAGGGAAGGTCCTGCCATTGGCTAAACTACAGGAGAGAGTGGAGAGAATATTTAGTACTTGCATCCTTGCACTCAGGGGCTGGGGGTGGGTATGGAATAGAGGCTGACAAACTCAGGAATGGTACGGGAAAGCTGCAAGCGGGGAGAGGGAGCAAGCGAGAGCTCGGTTGTTGAATATCTCTTCCAGAACATGCACAGGTGGCCATAAAGCAGAGCTTGCGGGAGCCAGGGTCAAAGAGAGCGGAAAGGAGTGGTACGGGATGGTAGATCTGAGGAGCTGCTTGCCAAAGGATGTTATTGTTTATGTAAGTTTGTGTGATTTCCAGAGAGACTGGAAAAGTACTTGTAAGAGTGGAATATTTCATAGAAAACCCTCTCAGTCTCATGAAATTCTCACAGCTGAAAATGGCCAGAGGTTGGGGAGTGCACAGAGCACAGCAGGGAAGGCAGCATCACATGTAATTGC